ACAAACTCACTCTCAGAAAATACTAAATCTAATAACCAAATTACTGAAACTCTCTGATAATGAAAAACGTGTTACCTGTATGGGATATGTCGATGAGTAGAGCTGTCTCTATATTTCTTAGCCAAGCCAAAGTCTATGATGTAAACCTAACAGAAAGAAAGTCAATACAATAGTGAAATCCCAAAGTCAAAGTCCCCCCAAATAGTTTATGAAGAAGAAAGATAACCTGATTTGACCGTCTTCCCAAACCCATGAGAAAATTATCAGGCTTAATATCACGGTGAAGATAGGATTTAGAATGGATGAACTCGAGACGATTTATCTGACACAAAAAGATGGTGAAACTCAGCATAATAAAAAAAAATTGACAATACAATCAAGAATCGTAAAAGTCTAAGTTACCATCTGATCAGCAAGCATGAGAACAGTCTTCAAAGTAAACTTGCGGTTGCAATAGCCAAAGAGATCCTCAAGACTAGGACCAAGCAAATCCATGACTAAGACATTGTAGTCTCCCTCAACACCAAACCGCTTAATGTTTGGAATCCCAGCTGCCATTATTCATTACACTCAAGCAAATGAACAAAAAGTATAAAATAAGAATCGGAAGAAAAAAAAGAAAAAGAAAAGGGGTTATCAATCATACTTCCACCCTGAACAACCCTATATATCCTGGACTCATAGGACAGTTGCGGATGCGCAGTTTTCACACTTTCCTGCAATTTAAAAATAAAAAAAAGAATCAAACTTCGAACGGAAAAAAAGGAAGTTGGAAGTCTTGAAGTTGAATAAAGAGTATGAAAAGACTCACAAGCTTAATAGCGACCTCTTCGTTGGTCTGAACATCAGTTCCTGCAATCACAACAACAACAACAAGTCAGCAAAACTGAATTCGACATAACTAATTGAATAGAGAGAAGAGTGGGAGAGAAAGAAGGAAGGAACCGAGGTAAATCTCTCCGAAAGAGCCGCTACCGATTTTGCGGCCAAGACGGAACTTATTCCCAATAAGAGGAGGCTCCATGAATCAAAAACCCTAGAGGAGCAACTAGGGTTTTCAGGAACAGAGAAGATGAGGCGAATCGACTTTAATTAGAAGAAGTTAGTGAGTAGGTGAGAGAAAGATTCGAATGGAGTTTTGGTTAAGCAAGAAGAAACGAAACGGGAGTTTTAAGACAGACAAAAAGAAGAAAACCATTGCGTGTCGCTTTGCCTATGGTCTTTTGTCACTTCTCGAGCCAGTTCGGTTCGGTATGTTTACTTTGAGAATAGTTTGTAATCGGTTTGGTTCAATTTACCGGGTTCACCTTTTTATAAAAGTAGACCAAATAATTATTACGGTCAGCTCATTTTCAATTTCAATTTCAATTATTTTTTTAGTGATTTAGCTCAATATACTAAAAGAAGAAGGTATTTAGGGATTTGCCATATTTTAGGGAGAAAAAATAGTGATGAGAGAAGGAAAGAGAAGAGAGAAATAGGGTATAGAATTAAATAAGGTGTTTTGTGTGTGTATGGAGTGCAAATACTTTATTTTTTTTGGGTTGCTCGGCTGTCGCCCCCAAAAAAACTAGGATTTTATTCTTTAAAAATTTCTTCTTCTATCCTCTTCCTCCATCAATTTCTCTTCTCTAGCTTCCGAAGATGAGCAGCGACAAGGATAACAACATAAACATGTATGTTCTCACCGTTGGTAATACTTCCTCTCTCTCTCTGTATGGAACAACGGCTGATTCTTTTTCTTTTCATACTGATTTGTTCAAAAATGTTTCTCCTTTTTTTTGTAGCACTTAACGAGGAGGATCGAGCGGACCTTGTTACTGCTCTTAAGGTTAGTTTTATTCTGGCGATTGTTTCTCTTGTGTAATTGATTTGATTAAGATGATTTCTAGCAGTGAACTGTCTCTGCATCTTTACTTTGAATGTTATTTTCCTGCTGATTTAGGGCATCGGACTTTGCTTTGATGATTTTCTGATTTTTGTTATGTTTTGTTACAGAACAAGTTGCAGAATTTAGCTGGACAACACACAGATGTGCTTGAGAACTTGAGTCCTGCTCTTAGGAAGCGTGTCGAGGTTCTTAGAGAGATTCAGGCGAGTCATTTAGCTCTCATTATCTGACCTTTTGTCTTTTCATTTATCACTTTAGTTGGCTCTGAATCTGATTCCTTAATTCATTTTGCACTGCAGAACCAACATGATGAAATTGAAGCAAAGTTTTTCGAGGAGAGTGCAACTCTAGAAGCTAAATATCAGAAACTGTATCAGCCTTTGTATACCAAGGTTTCTTAATTGATCATTGATTCTCTACCTCAACTGAAAATAAGTTTGATTAGATTTCTCTCTGTCGTATGATTATAACTCAAGTTTGATAAGACTTCTATTCTCGTATGATTATCACTGAAGTTAATGATTTCTGCTTTCGTATTGACCACATAAAACAGTAGTTTGAGATTGTCACCGGAGCGGTTGAAGTTGAAGGTGCATCCGAAGAAATAAAAACTGAACAAGGAGAAGACAAAGTTGTTGAAGGTGTGTTATCAACTACTTACACTTAATTATGGTTATATTTTTAGCTTTCAATAATGGTGAAATCATAATTCAACTGATATGAACCTCTGTTTTTTTTCTCCCTCCGCAGAGAAAGGAGTTCCTGATTTCTGGCTTATTGCAGTGAAGAACAATGATATCACCGCTGAAGAGGTTTGTTTTAATGATAATGTGATTCTCTTTATATTTGATGTTTTTTCATCCTCATATTCTAGATAACTAAGCGAGGTGAAGGTGCTCTTAAGTATCTTAAGGATATCAAGTGGAATAGGGTTGAAGAACCAAAAGGGTTCAAGCTTGAGTTTTTCTTTGATGAGAATCCTTACTTCAAGAACACTGTCTTGACCAAGACTTATCACATGATTGATGAAGATGAGCTTATCCTCGAGAAGGCCATTGGGTATGATCTTTTGCTCTCTGTCATTTATTTGATGTTTTTGTTTCTTAAGGTAAAAGATGTCTTATTGATCTTTGACTATTGTTCAGGACGGAGATTGAGTGGTATCCTGGAAAATGTTTGACTCAGAAGATCCTTAAAAAGAAACTAAAAAAGGATCCAAAAACACAAAGCCGATCACTAAGACTGAGGACTGTGAGAATTTCTTTAACTTTTTCAGTCCACCTCAAGTTCCTGATGACGAGGAGGATCTTGATGATGACATGGTATGGCCACCCACAAGAGAAGTTTTAATTTTGAATTCAGTAGTAAAGAATGCGTTAAATGGTAACCTTATGATCTTGCACATGCTGATGAACTCCAAGGCCAAATGGAGCATGACTATGATATTGGGTCTGCACTCTTTCTATTTTATCTTCACTTTTCTTCTTATTTGTGCTCTAGGATCTGAATCTGTCCTATGTTTATCTTGTAGATCAATCATTAAAGAAAAAATCATCTCTCATGCGGTGTCATGGTTCACCGGGGAAGCTGTTGACCCAGATGACCTTGAGATGGATGATGATGAGATTGATGAAGATGATGATGAAGAGGACGAGGAAGATGATGAGGAGGACGAAGATGATGATGATGAAGACGAGGAAGAAAAAGAAGGAAAGAAGAGCAGAAAGAAGGTACTGTATGGTTAAACGATTTGCTTTCTGTTTTTATTATAAAACTAAACCTTGGTAGCTGATTTTGGTGGTTTCTCTTTTTTTATTTGTTGCAATCATCAGCTGGACACAAGGTTTGAAAATCAATCACCCAGTCAAGAACCGTAGGATCTTTCTGCTGTTGATATGTGAGGAATGTTGCTAACCTGAGCCTTTTTTGTTTGTTTTTCCGTGAACAAAAATCTGGAAGAAGTCAGCTTGCTGAAGATCAACAAGGTAAGAGACCACCTGAGTGTAAGAAGCAGTGAGTTCCGCCGAGAAGCTGCCTGCGCTTATTTAATAAAAAGAAAAAAGAAGAAAAGAGTCGGGTCGTTCCTTAATTTGGAGTCATAGTCCAGTTTGTATGATTTAAGTATCAAGTTTTGGGTGGTGGTTTGCTTTTGAAAAAAAAAATTTGGTTTGGTTTGTGTCTCGTTTTTCATTTTGTAATGTGTGCTCCTGATGTCTTGCATATTTCCATTGTTGTATCCATTCATGCATGTGTATTCTAATCATTTAGACTAGGATTTAACCGTTTCCAGCTTGCATTCTGCATGCATAAGTTCTTTTCAGGTAATGAAGTATCCTTGAAGTTCTTGGAGGTGATTAAGTGGATTTGAGGTCCAAAAGAGGAGTTTGGGATGAATATTGCTCGAACAGAGGCCGGAGCAAGGTGCTGGAGCGAGTCTCTGTGGTCGCTCTACATCAGAATGACACACGAAGGCCGCTCCACAAAGTCGCTCCAGCCCCAACTCGGAGCGACCTCTCGCAGCGACACCTGAAGGTCGCTCCAGCACTCAGAGCGACATGGGGAGCAACACAAAGGAGCCGTTTCGTGTTTTCACGCAAGAGGAGGCTTGGGAGCGAGGTCTGGAAGCGACCTGGCCAAGCCGCTCCAGCGCCTGGAGCGACCTTCGGGAGCGACGCGGCCATGTCGCTGCGTGTCGTTTGTGTACGAAAATCTTGCTTTATTTTGGGACCTTTTGGTCATTTGTTTTATGTTTTGACATCTGGAAAACCTAAGTTAAGTACTCTGTAAGCTTCCATGGCAGATCTATCTTGATTTTGGAAGAGAAAACATAGAAAAAACTCTTGGAAAGTTCATCTTTTGAATCATTCTTATTGTTCTTGTTTTGTTTCATCGTTGTTTCCACTAGTTTATATGATTAAACTTGAATCCAGAATGGATTTAAGAGGAACCATGTCGATTAGTGAGTAATCCATCATTGAATTCATGGGATAGGGAGATTAAGAGTGATTAGATTAGAACAAGGATGTTTAGTGTAGATTTATCTTGTTCCTTGCTAGTAGAGTATCCTTAATGCATCTTTTGAGTTGGCCTCTCAAAGGTTGATCTTTAGCTATTTCACACCTCACAAGGTGTTTGATGAAATACCTGAGTCAACTCTCCTAAGCTCTTAATACACTTTACCAAAGAAATTTGTTGTTAAGGGTGTTAAGATAGTCATTGACTAGTTCTTAAAGATTATTGTTTCAACATTCAACCAAAGACATTTGATGATTGAGTTGAGTTAGTAAATGAGCATCCATCTAGACATAGAGCTTGCTTGAAAATGTGCCTAGGTTTAAGGTTGATAGCTAAGTTGATCAATTGCCATCTTTAGTTCGAAGTTTGATCACCCAAGATCTAATCCCTACTCCCATGGGTTCTCCTTTATCATAATCAAGGAAGTTATTTCAGTTATTGCTTTTTAATATTCTTAGTTTTAATTCAGAACAATCATTTATTCGATTGCACTTAGATTAAGTGAGTACTTGCATTCTCAGTGTTTTAAAATCCCTTAGAATTTGTTCGACAATCTCTTATATTACAACATTTGTCTTAGGAGCCTTGAAAACTCCTAACTTCAAATTGGCGCCATTGCCAAATTCTGAGTTGATTTAAACATTGAGATTTAGTCACTTGCTTGAGACTAAGTCATTTTCCTTTTATTTTATTCATGATTCTTCATCTTCATCTCTCTTTGGATTTCAGGTGTATGAACTTGAGGAGCAAAGGCACAACAAACCTTATTCTAAGAGTTCCAAATATCAGGGCGTTTGAAAGAGAGATTGCAAGACAGAGAAAACAAGCAGAGCAACAAGCTCAGCAACAGAGGCTGCATACTGACATGGCTGAACAACCACAAGGAATTAACAACCCATCCGTCACCCACCCCGCCCAGCTCGCCCTATTGGAATCTATGACCGTCCAAACCTTAATGGAAGTAGGTTGGGAATTCGAGCACCAACGGTGGAAGCCAACAACTTTGAGGTCAAATCAGGACTCCTCAACGTGATCGAGAACAATAAGTATCATGGCTTTCCTGTAGAAGATCCATTTGATCATTTGGACAAGTTTGACAGCTACTGTGGGTTGTCAAA